TGATGAGGTTCCGGTGATCTGGGCCAATTGCACCAGAAGTTGTGGTCTGGCTTCCATGGTTTCTATAAATTGTGGGACAGAGTTCTATTTTTCCACACGGGCTGATGCATGTCCATTTGTAGAATCCATCTCTCTTGCAAATGATGGAGTGGGGAGGTGGGGAGGAATTACCAGTAAAGAAGAGTAAGGTGTGAACAAGTAAGAAAAGATTGCAAGGCAAAAGACGAGATCTCTGGATTAGATCTTTATCTGTCTTTATTAAAATCACAATGATTGGAGCATCTCCTAGTATCAGGTACCTCTTTAAATGCTACAACAAAGAATAAGAGAGGACCTGATAGCCCGGGAAGAACTCACTACCATTGGCTGCTGTGGTGGCCCACAGTTCCACACGACCCTCTGGGGACACTTCATGTTCTTTCACGTCTTAGTATTGCCTTTGGCCAACGGACCTTTTTCTTCGGGATTTCTGGGAGGTCTCCATTCCTGTTGAGCCCATTCCAACTTATTGGGAACCGATAGGACAGAGTTGGACTGCCCCATAGTCTTTCCATGGCAGTAAATCTCTCATCTTCTTAACTGACGTATCAGTCAGCAGCCCAGCGGTTAACCACTGCAGCACCAGGGGTCTTCCCTGGGTGGTACAGCGAATGTGGGGGACTGCTCACCTGAAAGATTAGAAGGTCCAATCCACTCAAAAGCACCTTGGATGAGAGGCCTGGCGATCTATTTTTGAAAGTCAGCCATTGAAAACACCATGAAGCATAATTCTACTCTGACATTCAGCGGGGTCACCAGGAATTAGAATCCACAGCAACTGGCTTTTTCCTTTTTTCTGGAATTCCTTTCCCCTGTTCTCACATTTTTCCATCCCAGTTCCGCTTCCTATTCTCCAGGGAGTGTTCTATGACCACCCCTTTTCCATTCCCTTCCCATAGTGGTTGTACTCCCTAAGCACACCTCCTTGCTGTTTTAAAAATTATCATGTGACATTATAATCGGCTTCTTATTTTGTCTACTGAATTGTTAGGTCCTCACAAACAGTAATGGTGTTTAATTATTGTTCCTCAGAGTATTGTCCACACATGGTAAGCACTCGTTAATGATTAACTGACAACGTGATAAATAGTTGCTGACTGATGTTTGTTACATCAGTTCAGAAAAAAATATATTACATGTATATTATAGATATATGTATATACTGGTGACATGATCAGAAGGTGCCACTGATGTGGCTATTACACACAGAGAGAAATAGAGGCATACATGCGTATTAAGTAAAAAGAGATGACGTGAATAACCAAGAGCTTGCTATACACAAGTCAATCCAAGGGACCAGTGGGGTGAGGAGTGAAATCAGTGATGAATACATTAAACAATTTCACCTCCACTTGATGTATACATCACACCTGAGAATTGAGGGATGGATTCTATGTAATATACTCTTAATCATCATCCTTTCCTCTCTGTTGACAAATGGTGGGGCTGGGGGTGGAAAGAGGCTAAATTCTGAGTTCAAAAGCCTACTTTAATACATTGTGTAGCTTAATGTGGATGTTTTATCTACAAATAAGGACTAAATCCTATCTGTAAACTATGTTTCATTTATAATATTCAGTGCCTTCCCCCCTGCCCCCAAATTCCCAGGCAATCTCTTAATGAGAATAAAATATAAAATCAGGACTTCCAGGGATCAGGTTTAGGTTTGTAGTTCAGAGATGCGCTAGCCCAGCGGTTCTCAACCTGTGGGGCGCGTCCCCTTTAGGGGTCGAACGACCCTTTCATAGGGGTCGCCTGATTCATAACAGCAGCAAAGTTACAGTTATGAAGTAATTTTATGGGTGAGGGGATCCCCACAACGTGAAGAACTGTATTAAAGGGTTGGGCATTAGGAAGGTTGACAACCACGACTCTAGCCCATTATGACCCAGCCCACCTCTCCCCTCCTCCACCTGGACAGCTCATCCCACCCACCCAGTCCCCAAATCCCAAATCTCTTACAGCCTCCTCATTCAAATGACTTTCCCTGGCAAAGAATGTAGTCGGTCGGCGGCCTGCCCTTCCTTTGGTCCTTTCACACCAGCGGTTCCCACCCGACACTCAGTGGGATGGGTAGGGGGATGGGGTGAATTCACCCAGACCTTCATGCAAACACCCCCCAGTCAGAAAAAAACAAAGCTTCCCCTGGTAAACACTGTAGGGAGCAGCAGGCACACTCGCTTATCGGATGCTCCCCACGGCTCTGTTCCCCACTCTCTGCCGGCTGCGCCGCAAGAGCCAGTTTTTCCCCTTGTTCAAAGACATCACGTCGTCCTACTTCCCACGAGACGGAGACTGTCTGCCGGCCCACAGCGAATCACCTTCCGTCCTCCGACACCTCTGTTTGGACTCTTTTCTCCTCCGGAACGACGGTTGGAGGAGACAGTTCTGCAGAGTTGTCCACCTGCTTTGACCTTGGCGATATTCCTCCCACTTTCGCAAGTTCACTCTTTTGCATTTTGAGCAAAGCCAGTCGCCTTCTGTGGAGACCGAAGTCCCGGAGCGAAGGGGAACATTAGTCTTAGGATGTGCGTTAGACAAATACAAGAAAAATAAAAATACCTGATTGGACACCCCCAAGAGTGAGCCATTGTGAACGGTGAAGACCGCAGAACCTCCTTGCAGGCTGCATTTGGGGATGAAGGAAGGGAAAGAGCGAAAGCTACTTATAACGGTGGATGTGGTCCAGTACTATCAGTATTCAAAACTCACCCCCAAACGTTGTTTCTTCGGAAGGCATACCAAAAACAAGAAGGGATGGGGAGGGCGCGAGTGGAGTGCGCTCTCCGCGGCCGGCGCGTCTGTTCACAAGCACGAATGGAATTGGGGCACAACTGAACAGAGTGTTGGAACAGTGGGAATCCGCTATTTTACTCAGGAAGCTTTGGGAGCGGCTGTTTCCAAAAATCGGACACACAAGATTCGTTTGTTTGGTACTTTGGAAAGTGCCGCAGCAGCCAGTGAACTCTCCTCTCCTCTCTCAGAAGTCCCAGAAAGCCATGACCCCTTACAGAAAGTCCTGCACTTGTGGACACGCCCTGTTAGGAAGATGGGTGGCTGATCCAGATGACATTGACTTCGTCCTTCCGAAGGAGGTCAACTCAAGAGTGAAGAGGCCAGTGAGAAACGGAAACTCCACGGAGGAGTGAAAATGAGACCCCTGAAGAAGCTGGTATGAAACCACTTACTCCAACACAGTTGTCCGCAATGAGCAGTGGAGAGCGTTAAGGTAACTTGTTGCAGCACCACTGTAAACGGAAACTCACTGTGGCAATGCTGCTGCTGGAAGAAAGTACCCCGCCACCTTTCTGGTGATTGTAGAGAAGCCCAAGACACTCCCTTCTCCCCCTACAGTCGCCTGTGATTTGTAGGTTAGGATCTAGTTATAATATTCAGAATTCATGAAATGATCTGTGGTAGGAAGAGTTATAAAACAAGGTACAGTGTTATCTAAGTGTCCTATCATATTTTAATTACTGCTGATATTCAGACCTGGGCTTGGGCCAGGACACCTAGTTCTCTGCCCTTCTCTTCTGGACATGACTGGGAGTGGAAAGAAGTTTTCATGAGTTGTACAATATCAGCTGTAGAAAAACACTATTTTAAGGCTGCGGCACACTTGCCTTTGCTGCTATTTTTATACAATGAAGCAACAGCCTGGCAGCAACATCATAAACCATTTAATAAAACCGTCAGCTTCTTAAAAATAAATAAATAAATGCCAGGACCTCCAAAAGAGAAAGACGACCTTTCTTCTCCCAGTCCCAGTCTCAGAAACTTACGGAGGCAATTCAACCCTTCCCTATAAGATCTCTATGAATCAGCATGGACCCTAACTAAGGCAGTTTGGCTTTTAATCACTGGATTAAAACTAAAATTCAGCAAAAAGTTCATTTCCAACCTGAAGGTCTTAGGCACAGACTTCTAATAGGATTTCCATTAACAGCCACTGAGTACGGGTCACGGATGTGTCAAACGTTATGTTTACTTAGCACGTTATCTCCTGTAATCCTTGCAAGGAGACACGGAGGGAGGTAGTCACTTCTGCTGACAAATGAATAAAGAGACCTAATAAGAGTCTAGGCCAAGATTCTGTCCCATACCATTTGTTATACAAAGTTTAGACAACAGACTAATTTTAAATCTTCCATCGTGATGCTAGATAGGCATACTTAATTACTTGCAGGACACCAATGTGTCTTTTGTCCGTTGGTAGCAGCTCCTCTCCTCTAGCTTTTCTTAAAAAGATACTGTCACATTGGATTGCTATGCATCAGCATCTACTCCCCCACATCTCCCCAGTCCCGACGGAAAGATTTTGTCTTTCTGAAAGCTAAACGAACAAAATGGGAGTTGGAAACAAGTGCCATTTTGAACACCAACGGATGCCTTTAGCAACATGCTGCAATGCTGCCAGTGTTTTACAGTGACCTTAGAGTGAATCCAAGAGATAAATGTAGCGAGTAGAGGCTTCTACCAAGGCCAGGCAGATATTGAGGCTTGACTTGAGACTTGCAGTTCTCTAGTGGGAGTTCCATGACCTGATGTACCTTCAGGAATCGGAGGTGCATCTTTGATTTCACAAGTGGAAACCAGGTGAACCTGGATGTATTTCCTTCTTAGGGCTTATTTTGTCTGTCTGCTAGTCCTTTGGCCCCAGGTTCCAACTTTCTTCCCCACCCAGTCTGGGTTACCCTGCAGCTCTACTTTCAGGAACTTTTGCATTACAATGGCCCTGATGAGACCGGCAGACAGGATTTAACTGGGAATTCTACTGGGTGTGTGGAGGAAGGAGGGCAGCCTGAGGGGCCGGTCTACAGTATATATGGAGCTTTCAGCTCTAAATCCTGAGACTCGAAAATCTTTTCCTCCTCCGTGGATTGGGCTGTTCGCTCCTCGCTGCTATACAATCGAGGGCTTTGATTTTGTTGTTCATTTGGTTGGGTTTTTTCCTCAGCAACATGAGTGTGGATGTAGCTTCTCCCCAAAACCTTCTTGAAGCTTCCGATTCTAAAAACTCATCACCAGTAACTACCAGTTTGGGGGCTAAAGAAGATGGTACATCCTTGCAAATGTCGTCTGCCGAGCCCCCCTACTCAGAGACAGGTAAGGAAATGCTCATCTTAGAAGCCCAGCTTCCTGCAGGGAAAGAGAGAGAAGCAAACGGAATTGAGGCCGTTGCTTGAGCAATCGTAAGTCATTAATACAAGTAGGTGTTTATCTATTAACCCTCTTTACACCTTTCTGTTGATAACTTGTGGCTTGTGCTGTTTGGCTTTAACTGTGTCCCGGGAGTCAGTTCAGGACAGAGAGCAAAAGAACACTTTTCAGTTCAACTTCTAATGGAGTTCTTGCTAGTTATTAAAAACCTACAAGCATGACTATTGTGGTGATGCAAATGTGTAATTGTAATCATTACGTCTTAGTAGTACAGTGCTGGGTACACTTTTTAGTAAATGCTGCAGCTAATTGGCTGGAAGACAGAGTGAGAGTGAGCATCGTTTTTATTTTTTATGAACTATTTACCAAGTGCCAGCGATGGCAGAAATCTCACCCAGAAGCATTTTAGTGTCGTTAAAATAAGAACTGCCATGGCAGGTGACTTTCCCCCCTCTTCGGGTGTGTGGATAGGACTGGGCAGCTCCGATTTGAGGACTTACGGTGTAGTGGGTTACGTTACAGATTAGGCTGCAAACCTCAAGATCACCAGTTCAAGAAACCACCAGACAAGGCATTCTACTCCCACAAAGAGATAAGCGTCTCAGAAACCCTTGCAAGGACAACTCTACCCTGTCCTGTAGGGTCCCTAGCAGCGTCCCTGAGCCGCACCAACTCAACGGCTGGGAGTTTGGAATTTGAGGGTCTTGAACCTAGTGTGTGCGGTTCCTACTTTACGGTAAAGATTACCCCAGCAAACTTGTTCTGATCATCACGGTGGCCAGAGTTAATGATTTGAATTTGGTTTGGCTTCAAAGTCCTTGCTACCAGTGCTTCAGAAGGGTGTTCAGCTTCAATAGAACACTGCTATTCTAAACGTAGCATTACACACAATGACCCTGTTTCGGTAATGTCAAACATTAGCGAAATAGGGTGTTGGGCTATCTAAGAGGATGGGTCCTTTTTTTTTTTTTCTTGGTGCTACTGGCAAGGAATTTGAAATTTTGAACTTTTTTAAGTGTCTACTAAACCCAAGTAATGAAGGCAGAAGTACACTTGAGGATTACTAAATGGATTGATATTAAGTCCTGTATGAGATATTTAAGGAATCTCATATTCCTCATTTTAACTCATAAAACTGACTATGGGAGAGGTCACACAGTTGGTAAAACAGAGCCTGGTAGTCCTGGTACTTAGACGTAACCTGAGCACTAAAGGGATTTTACAGGTTACACAGAAAAACGGATCATGTGGCTCATAAAATGTCATCCCTGGTGCTGAGTGAGATGACAAACAAGAACTCATTTGTGGAGAGACAGGCCAGCTACTAGCGGGTGGTCACCATTCTGACATTAACATTTTGTATTCCTCCTTTCGCTGCCAATGCACAGAGTGGCTTGAGGAAGGTCGCTTTGTTTAAAATCTCTGAACGGGTCCCGTTCCACACTACAATGTGTACAAGCAGTGCTCAATAATCTCTGGTTCAGAATTAAGATTGTTACTGGATGTTTACTTTGCTGGGAGTAGTGGGGGGTCAGGATTGCGAAAGTACTTTGAAACAAAATTTCATTCCTTTTTTGGGGGGGCAGGGGGAATTTAAGGAACATGTGGTTTTATTTGTTCCCAGCCAGGTCTCCACTTCCTTCCTCCGTGGACCTGCTTCTGCAGAAGAGCCCGGATTCTTCCACCAGTCCCAAAGTCCAGCTGCCCGCCTCTGCGGAGACGGACGCAGCCAGGAAGGAGAGTAAGGGCCAGGGCAAGAAGCAGAAGGTGCGAACGGTGTTCTCTCAGACGCAGCTGTGCATCCTCAAGGACCACTTTCAGAAACAGAAGTACCTCAGCCTCCAGCAGATGCAAGAACTTTCCGAAGTCCTGAATCTCAGCTACAAACAGGTACGTACACCCGCCTTCTTTGCAGTCTGTTAGAGCTGGTTAGGCAAGTCGGGATCACTAGCCAACCCTTTACATGTTAAATGTGGACATGAAATCTTGCTTCCTTAAACACCTCTCTCACTGTGTCATAGTTATTTAACCAGCTCACCTTTTTGCACAAACCAAGATTATTCAAACCATTAAACACATTTTCCTTAATCCAAGAGGGACCCACTATCCTCCCAACTTGTAGACATGGAGGGTCTGCGATCGATTCCTGTTCCCATTCTAATTAAATTATGTCTTTTATTATTAACCTTTGCACTGGATTCCTAACGAGTGGTCTTTTTTCCCCCTCTCTATTGCTTCCCCCGCCCCCCTCTTTCAATTGTCTTCCATCTTCTTTACCATTTTCTAACTTTAAAAAAATCACTATAGTGGGAGGCTCTTACAAATCTTTGGCTGATCCATCAACTCGTTTTCTATCTGATGTTAACTTTATGGCCCTAAAAGCTGCCCACCCTTATCAGTGGTGTGTCACTTTTGTTTTCTGACTCAGTCTATAAACCGTCCAGAAATCTTGGCTTCATGTGCTTTGGAATGCAACTTGATATTTTCCTAGTTCCTAAAGCGAAAGGCCACCATTCAATATAAATAAGCTTGTATGGCTTGCAGGGCAGCTGTTGACTAATGGTAGGGGCAAACCCTCCAGAAAAGAGAGATGAGCCATTTCAGTAGGTACTCCCTCGGGTAGGTAATATGTTGTGAGTTTAGTAAGCATAAAGCAGCCCACTGACTTTGAGGTGGGGGTGGGGGGGAGGGTTGGATATTTATTCTTAGAACATGGTTCTGGATTTTGTTAAAGGCTCTAGAAACTACATTTTGTTCCAGAGCATTACAGGTAGGGTTTTGGTTGGTTTTATTGAAATGCCAGGTTGAAGAGAAGCGTGTTCTTTCCCCAAGCATGTCTCCATGGCTGCTCTCTTTGACCTGATCCTCTCACTTTCCTACAGGTGAAGACCTGGTTCCAGAACCAGAGAATGAAATGTAAGAGGTGGCAGAAAACCACCAACTGGTCCAAGAATAACCATGCTGTGACTCAGGTAATAAAAAACTTATTTCGGTGCATTTTTGTCTCCCCGTGAAACACACAAACCAAACTCTAGACTATTGTGATACTCCTTGTTACCCTTTCAGTTGATCCATTATTTTCTTTCAAAAGGTCTCTGCACCTACAGAATACCTGGACGTCTGTGCTTCCTACCACCAAGGATGCCTTCCTTCTGGAAACCTGCCCATGTGGAGCAACCAGAGCTGGAACAGCCAGGCCTGGAACAACCAGAGCTGGAACAGCCAGGCCTGGAACAAC